GAACAGTATGAGGGACAAATTGTTCAGAAAAGGTAGAACTGATAAAAAGGAAAAATATCTCATTCATTTATTTGCTTTTCGATTAACCCTCTCCCAGGTAGAATGTAATATCCATGAGAGCAGGACCGTTGGCTGTCTTTCTACCAGTGCATCCCCAGCACCTGGAACACAGGCACACACAAAGCAGGTGTCAAGTATTCGATGACTTAATAAATAAGAACACCTTAAACAGTGCCCATGTGCCAGCACTAGAGCGCTCTAAATGTATTAAATAACTGAAACCTCATTATAACCCTATGAGATATGCCCTATTAGCTCCACTACAAGCTGTGTTTCATTATCCACATTATTACATTTGAAGACAGTGAGGCACAGAGGAGTTAGGCAACATGCCCAAGATCACACAGGTAGTAAGTGACAAAACTATAATTTTAATTCTACCACGTATGGAGCTTATGCTCTTACTTAAGCTGTGCTAAGTTACTAGTAAGTTATCTAAGACTTTTAATAACAGAAGTACCGAGGCCTACTCAGCACCCTAACCCTTATCCCCATCCTGTTATATAAGGAAAAGCTCCGTGTAGACGCAAAACCTCTATAACGAAATATGATTACATGATACACGATAATAGCAGACTGCAACATAACACAGAGGTGCACAAAGAATTCAGCCTATGTGCAACAGTGTGTGGACACAGGAGGCCACAGTTTCAGTACAGGAGCCCGAGGCTCTTAAGATTTCCACAAGTGATAAAGGTCAACAGGCATCAGGGCAGAAGGAAAGGCTTGTGTAAAACCCTGAGGATGCAAGGTATAGAAAGAGAGTTGGGGCTTCCCTGGTGGCGCAGTGGTTGAGAGTCCGCCTGCCTATGCAGGGGACACGGGTTCGTGCCCCAGTCCGGGAAGATCCCACATGCCGCGGAGTGGCTAGGCTCGTGATCCATGGCCGCTGAGCCTGCGTGTCCGGAGCCTGTGCTCCGCAACGGGAGAGGCCACAACAGTGAGAGGCCCGCGTACCGCAAAAAAAAAAGAAAGAAAGAAAGAAAGAGAGTTGGTGCTGGAGATATGGAGCTATGGGAATTGGGGGCATGGAGGAGAGAGGGGAATGGAACGGCAAACCAGAACGAGATTGTCGTGTGTGCTTCCGAACGGCAATGCTACATCACAGACTACTCTGTGGGTAGTAGGGTCCAGCTCCACTGTAAAGCAGGTCCAAGCTAGGGATTTGGCCCAACATGAGTCTACAAAATAGGGAGTGACACCTGGGTCTGAACTGAGGGCCAGCTAACACACAGTTTGAAATGCTTTATGGAAGGCAGATGAAAACCGGTCCCAATAGAGAAAGGTTCAATCAGATGTTAAATGATACTCATTACACCTAATGCTTCGTCAGACTGAGATAAGAGGAGGCTAAAGGGGCATGCTCATTCTTGATTTTCTTTACTATTCTTGTAGGTACATGGAGACACCTCCCTTCTCTCTAGTATATTCTCTAACTCGAATTTAACCATCAAATCTTTATTTTCGACCTTAACCTAACTCAATCCCTATAGTTGTGCTGTCCACAGGTCCCGACTGAGTTTTTAAAATGTGGTTAGTAAATGTAAAATAGATAGCTAGTGGGAAGCAGCTGCATAGCACAAGGAGATCAGCTCGGTGCTTTGTGACCACCTAGAGGGGTGGGATAGGGAGGGTGGGAGGGAGACGCAAGAGGGAGGGGACATGGGGATATATGTATACATACAGCTGATTTACTGTTATACAGCAGAAACACAACATTTAAAGCAATTATACTACAATAAAGTTGTTAATTAAAAATAAATAAAATGTGGTTAGTCTGAAGTGAGACGTGTGCTAAGTTAAAATATATACTTATGTATATCTTTTAATAATTTTATATTGATTATGATAGTATTAAACTCATTTTTATATTGAGATGACAGTACTTTAGCTATACTGGGTTAAATAAATACTAAAATTTATTTCAACCTGTTCCTTTTACTTTTTTTTTTACTATGACCTCTGGAAAAATTTAAATTGCATTATGTGGCTCACGTTATATTTCTACTGGATAGCCTTGTTCTACAGACTATCTCTACTAAGGCCATCTGTCCCTTACATGCAGCATACTTAATATTGGGTCCACCTTTTACAAGCTCTATGACATCTCTGTGCCTCAGCTTCTTCATCAATAAAATGGAGATACTAATTGGAATAAAGAGGATAACTAACAATAACAGCTAACACACATAATACTCAGACTGTAACAGCTAACACACACACAACACTTACAATATGCCAGACACTGTTCTAAGCATTTTTCATATATTAACTCCTTTAATCTTCACAATATCCCTGTGAGGCCATCACCCCCATTTTACAGATGAGCAAACTGGCACAGAGAAATTAAGTGACTACCTAAAGGTTACACGGTTAGTAAATAGTGAAGCCCAGGTTCGAGTCCAGGCAGTCAGTTCCAGGGTCCTTGCTTTAAACCACTGTCTCTCATGATACCCACCTCAAAAATGGTACAGAAATTCAATAAGTTAATTTAGGTAAAAAATTTCAAACTGTCTCCAGCACATAGTAAATTTTCCTTCAGCGTTTAACTATTATCACCATCACTCCAGCCCTCAACCTACTTCCCAAATTCCCTGCATGCCGCGACTTTTCTCCTCATTTCCCAGGATTAAAACCTCAGGATCCTCTTTTAATACGTCTCCCTCTTTCATTCCCTAACTCTTGTCAGGTCCTTCTTACTCAACCTTGAATGCTCTTAACGGATCTATGCTGCTTTTCCACTACCACCTTAGCCCAGTACTCTGCACCCTCACAACTGTATGAATTAATAGCAGTAACAAGACAAAGACCTTAACTGGTGCTCACGTACCAGGCATTCCTCACGTCTATTAATTCATTTAAACCTTACTATAACCCTGTTTGTTCTCCAGGACTTCTATACCTGGGCTCTAACAGTGTCTAATTTCTTTAGCAGACCTGTCTTCCTGGAATACCAATTTCATTATATGATGGGAACTTTAAAGGTGTCTGGATTCGCTACATGTGTCCCTATCAGTTGATGTATGTGAGAGGAAAAGATGATGGGTGTTCCCTACTGGGGCAAAGAAAGATTTACAAGGCCCTGAAAATTAAAAATTCTAGCCTCATCCAAAATCTCTCACAGAATCTAGTCTCAACTCAGCAACCAAACATTAACAACTATACAACCTAGCCCCATCCCGCTCATTCAATCTTATCTCCAGTCAACAAAAGCCCTCCAGAGTGGTTAAACAGGTCTCTTCATTGTTCCTGGAGTAAATAATGGTAATTATTATTATTATTATTTATATTATTTATAATAATGATATTATATATTATTATAAATAATATAAATTATTATTAATATTAGACCTTATTCATACAGTTCCCCTCTGCCTCAAAAATCTGAGCACACTTCACCTCCATCACGCCCAGACTAAACTAATCTCCCCTCTAAACTGTGATAAGACAGCTGTCTTACCCCACTCACTGGGGTCTATAATGATATATTCACCATCCGGCAAATGCCAATCACAACCCCAACCAGGCCCTGAGCAACTGGAAGGCAAGCACTGAGTCCCTCATTTCTCACCTTCCCCGTGAGTGGCACATGCCTCTACAAAGAACACGCACTTATGTGGCAAATGGAACAGTAAATGAGTTACAGTGTAGCTGAAATGACATGTAAATACCCTAATTCAGCCAACCGTATTTCCCTAACCAGGAAACACCTCAAGGTAACAGGAGCAGTATCAATAGTTTCAGAGCAGTGTTATCACTGCACCCTCCAAGTCATTATCTTCTTTACTCCTCAAAACTCTCCAGTGAAGTACCACTACTATACCTTTAAGTCAGCTGAGGTTTAAAGAAGTCGAGGGTTTTTACTCAGGATCACACAACTACTATACGGCAAAGCTGGAACCAGAGACCAGGCCGCTAGTCCAGCGCTCTTTCCAATGGTCTAATTCCCCTTTTATCTCTTCTCCGTCCTTATCACCTAAGGAAGAGTTAAATAACTAAGAGGGGAAAGGAATCGGGTGAGAATACTTGGTAACAACAGATGTGGTAAATTAATGACTTGAACATTTGTCTGAAATGGCTTTTTTTTTCTTTGACTCACCAAGGGTAATGACGATTTACAAGGCTGCATTTAAACCTCATGATCTTGCTGTACTGTGAAATAAAAATTTCCACCCAAACTTAAAACCAGTATCTTTCCGGCCTCCAGAGCTGGACATCACCTGCTCCACCCCACCTCCTCTACACTTACAAAATCTTAGCTTAAGGCTGTTTCTTACCAAGAATAATTAAGGAAGCAAGCAACCTTCCGAGGTTGCTTAACCATCAAAGCAAACTGGCAGTCCTTGCTAAACGTTATAAACCATTAGTTTCCCCACACTTCACTGTTTCCATGTTATTTGCTGGATATTCCGATTTAGCACCGAATCACAAAGAACCTCAGTTCAGGGCAGTCTCAGCTCATGAATGGCCGCATTGTTGAGTACTCTCCCTTCACGCTGAAAGTCAGAAATGGAAAGACGTGGAGATGGACCCAAACCTGGGCTCACTGCACTGGCAAAGCCAAGAAAAACCAGGAAACGTACCAAAGACGCCTGCCTCTGCCTCCTCCGCAGACCTTCAGGCCACTGGAGGGGGATGCGGGCAGCTCCCCCTCGAGGGATGCAGGTTTCAGCAACCGCCAGCTCACTGCCGAAAGAGCGTCCTCAAGGTCTCCTCTGAGGCGAGGAGCTGGAGAAGGGGGAGTTCTTCCCACGGACCCTGGATCGGACCCCCGCCCCCGCCGCGCCACTCCACCCGGCACAACCCACCGCCCCAGGTGGAAGGCGCCGCGGCCTCGGGTACCACCCCCAATTCTCCAGGGAGGATACAGAGGAGACGGAAGGGAGGTAGCGGCTACGAAATAAGCTGCAGCCGGAGCCTCCCAGAGCCTCCTCCGCACCTCTACTCCGACTCACCCAGTTCTGCGCGTTATTGCTCAGCTTGACTTTCTTGCACAGGCTACCGGGAACCTCCATGGCTGCTCAGCGCGCGGGTGCCCGCGTTCTCAGCGCCCAGTGAGTAGTCGGAGGACTGGAGGCCGGCGTGGGCGGGACGGGAGGGCGGGGTCTCCTCGCGACCGGGCTGGCACGCGCTGTCGTAGGCACGCGCTCGTGCTCGCGGCTCCGACTGAGCGGCGCCTCGGCCCCGCCTCCTAAATGGGTCCGGGACAGAGGTGTGTGTGGGGTGGGGCGAAGCACCGGACGAGAACCGGACGCAGGGGGTGGGAGCTGGCTTTCAGGGCGCGCACCGACGCGAGCGCGCACGACGCTCCTCCCTCTTGATTCTGAAGTAGAGGCGGGGCCTGAGAAGGTAGTCGTGGAACTTCCAGGGTCCCTCCCCCGCTCGCCGCCTTGCGCTGCGCATGCGCAGAGGCTGGAAACGCGTCCCAGGCCTCGGCCCGGAAGGACAAGGAAGATACTAGCTCCCCACCTCTTTGCGGGTTTGGGTGTGTGCTGCTGTTTACTAGATGGCAGAAGACATTGAGGTGGTCTCCCGGCCCTCTGGTTTTTACTCCGTAAACCCGTCCACCAGTTTCCTATCCTCCATATCTGTGCCCTCCTCTCCCTGGCCACATTTAAAAAGGAATTTTCCAGCTTCGCGGAGAGAAGATGTGCTAAACAGCTCATTCTCCACACGTTCCACTTAGCTTTAAAATTCTGCTCAACGCACAGTTTCAAAAAAAAAAAAGTCAGTACCCCATCCCGGGACATCAGTAATTAATGTCTCTCAGGTTTTAGTGGTTATCTGCAAGGTGCCTCCTTCCCCACTTGCAGATGTCTCTTCAGGAGATTTCTGTCGGATACTTCTCACCCGGTAAGCCAGAAAAAGACCTCTATTTTATTAGCTTCTCAGGAAATCCTTAGAGGAATGAAATCCAGGCTGCAGGAGGGCCCTTGGTTACCACAGAGTAGAATGTCCATGTGTGAAGGACATTTTCAAATTCACCGAAGTATACCACAGCTACTTCACCACAGCTACTTCACGGGAGGATGGGCTGGGGATGGAGGGGAGCCTGCTCTAGGAGTTATCTCCCCTTCCACCCCCAGTACCCTAAGGGACTTTCCATAGCTTGTCCCTGGCACCAAGATAGTTGTTTGAAGTGCTTCTCCTCCATAACCCAAAGCCCTACCCTACAAATACACACCAATCCCAAAGACCTGACATTACTGCCTCTTTGCTGGAGGACAAGAGGGAATGAAAAATGCCCACCAAACTAAGAAGGTATCTCGAGACTGAGAAAATGAAGCAGGTGGCTCCATGTAATCAATGGATCCGTTTATTATACAGTAACTTACAGGGTGAGATCATGGAGGACTGTGATCCAGAAGCATTTACAGCTGCATCCGCACTGCTGAGGGGACATTGGGACAGTTGTATAGCTAACCTAGGGTATTGGAGTAGTGCTTAGAAACAGGAAGTGCATTCCTAAGTCAAGGTTTATGGATGGGTAAGTAGTCTCCTGGGCACTGGGAATATGTCAACAAAGGTCTTCATCATTGTCTGGGGACTAAGATAGCATAGAAGCCACTGGGTCCTAATGATTATTAAACAATATCTATTAACTTCAAAGCCCTTGACGACAAGAGAAGTGATTTACTGCAGAGTACAGTCCTGGGTAGGGCCAGTGGAAGGACAGGAGGAACTTCTACAGGCCCAAGTTGCCATCAGTTATGCTGACAGTCATACATTCTTTTTTTTTTTTTTTAATTTTTATTTTTGGCTGCATTGGGTCTTCGTTGCTGCGCATGGGCTTTCTCTAGTTGTGGCGAGCGGGGGCTACTCTTTGTTAAGGTGCACGGGCTTCTCATTGTGGTGGCTTCTCTTGTTGCGGAACATGGGCTCTAGGTGCGCGGGCTTCAGTAGTTGTGGCTCACGGGCTCTAGAACACAGGCTTCAGTAGTTGTGATGCACGGGCTTAGTTGTTCTGCGGCATGTGGGATCTTCCCGGACCAGGGCTCAAACCCGTGTCCCCTGCGTTGGCAGGTGGATTCTTAACCACTACACCGCTAAGGAAGTCCCAACAGTCATACATTCTTAATAGCTAGCAACTCAGTTCCCTGTTTATTTACCCCACTGCTACTGTGTTAATATTAGGCCTTTCCTATATCCAGGATGAATCACAACTAATCCCCGTATCTGGGCATCCTGTGCATCTGCTGCCCACACACTCCATTCTTAACATTGCTGTCAGAGTGTTATTTCTAAAACTTCAATCTTGTTACTTGACCTCAAACTGTCAATGGTTTCCTTGTAGCTTTTTCTCTGGGGACTCTTCATTTGCAGTCTGTATATAGAACTTAATTTCAGTATATTTCTGAATTCTGCCAATAACGGAATGAGCTTAGAAGAGGATCCAAAGCTTCAAATGAAAACACAGCACCACATTTGGAATCAGCCATTTCTCTAAGGAGTCCCGGGAGTCCTGGTTTTCAGAAGGGAGTGGTATTTAGATATCACAATCTGGGCTTCTAAAACTGTTTAGTGCTTCTGAGTCAGTCCATATTTCTGGACTTTTTCAGTGAAAGACTTTTTTCAGGTAAAATATATCATAAGTTTACCTTGATACTATCAATTCAAATGTATTATTTCAGACATCATTCATGCAAATGAGCCTGAAACATCCTGTCAAATCCAAAACAAGAAATTATCAAAAACCACTAGGATTATGTCAAAAGGACTCAGAAGCCAAACTGAAGCTTTCCCCTGTCAAAATTACACAATTAGAGCACTACAGGGATAATATCTATAAGGTATTGAAGCAAATCAAATATGTTTAAATCTAAATGTTCATAATGATGACAATTTAAAAAGAACTAATTGTCACACTTGGAGGATGCTAACAAACCAGCTCATTGTTTTGAAAACTTATAAATAAAAGGAAAGAATTAAGCATTTACTCTGGCTGCCATCACTAACTGTAAGTCAGGTAATGAAAGAGCTGATTGTAAGGAACGGCACCAAAAACGCAGGAGAGCTTAAACAAGCTTTATTTGGGTACGCTCCCGGGCGAGGTTCACTGATCCGAGAGAAAGGGGCCAGAAAAGTCGGGCCCGGGCGAGGGTTTAGGCAGAATTTATAGGGGAAGAAGGGAAAGGGGTGTGGTGAATCCGGGAGGGCGCTGGGTATTCCTTATTTGGTGGTCTCTTCGGGTATCGTGGGGGACCGTTAGTCCCGCCCCTCGAAAGGCAGGAAGGCTGGGCCGGGTGGAAAGTCCCCAGGTCAGTTCCTGGAACTGGGTGGTCCGGAAAGTCTCCAGGTCAGTTTCAACCTGTGAGTCTGATTGCGTTCCCCTGCCTCGGGCCAGTTGGCCTTACACTGATGAGAGGAAGTTTTTCTTTGTAGACATACAGCTAATAAATTAGGAAGGAAAGGTAGATTTTATAATGTCACCATTTTACAACTTTAAATGAAATAAATGGATCAAGACAATGGTCCTCAATGGCTGCTAAATCATGAAAATAAAGAACATTAGAACTTTCCTGCTTCCTGATGAAGTATTAATGCCCCCCAAAAAGTTAAAACTGATCTTAAGTCTTCAGGTTTCATTATCAATTTATAGCTAATGCAGAGGAAAGAGGAAGATGTAAAATCACCATAAATGCAATCAGTCAAGTCCAAACTGTGAAAAACTACATCATAAATGACCCGACTCTTCAATAATTCAATTATAGGAAAAACTAAACAAGAACTAAAGATTATGAGAACTTATGAGAACTATCAAGCAGTTGAAATACATGAACTTATCTGAACACTGCTTCAAACAAAAAAATATTTTTAAATACAGGAAATTTAGAGAGTCCCTAGACTCTTGATATTAAAGACATTCTTTTGGCATTATAATAGCATTGTTATTATATCTTTAAAGGAGTAATTTTAGAGATCGGTATTGAAAGATTTACCAATGAAATGGCAATGCCATTGGTATTCAGGAAACAAAATTCATCTCCTGGAAATTAAAAACAAGATAGCAGGAGTGGAAGAAAAGGTGAAGATATCTTTCAGAATGCAGAGCAAAAACCCCAAAAGATGAGAAATAGAGGAGAATTTTTAAAAAGAAAGAACAGTCTAGGAAATTTAAGATTCAAATATTAAGAGTTCCAAACAGAGAAAACCCACCAGAGGAAATAACCAAGGAAATTATTCAACAAAATTTCCTATAACTGAAGGATTTTAGACATTTGTTGAATGTCCAGCTTAACAGATAAAAATCAAAGCACAGCACTATGAAATTTCCAAACCGTGTTCCCCAGTGTTCTGAAACTGTTTGGAAATCCTACAAGCTTCCAAGGAGAAGATGGAGCGTTCACAAAGAAAGAATCAGGAGTATACATGAATTGAAGCTATCAAGAAACACACCAAGAGCTAGAAGACAAATGGAACAATAGCTTCAGAGCTCTAATAAAAAGGTATTTCCGCAAAAGAAAAAAAAAGGGAAAAAGAAAAATATTTCCAATTTAGAATCTAGAATTATCGTACACCCTCTCTTAAAGAAATATTAGAGGATATGATTCACCTAAATAGGAAGAGAAAAACATGGCATCCAGAGAATAGGAGTTCCCACACAGGAAACAACTGGAGGGAATTCTAGTGAACGGAGATCCCAGGATGACGGCAGTGTACCAGGTCTAGAAGATAATCATTCAGAAGCCTCTCCAAGAAGTCAGGAAGCCCTTGGAGAGCCCTGTTTAGGAAGATGAAATTGATAGAGCATTTGACGGGAATGACCATACTGAAAATAATTTAGATAGGTGACAGAGTTTGGGATTAAATTAGTGATAACTACTTAGAAAACTAAGTCATCAAAAAGGATACATTGGGACTTCCCTAGTGGCACAGCGGATAAACTCCACACTCCCAATGCAGGGCGCCTGGGTTCGATCCCTGGTCAGGGAACTAGATCCCACATGCATGCCGCAACTAAGAGTTGGCATGCCACAACTAAGAAGCCTGCAAACTGCAACTAAGGAGCCCGACTACCGCAACTAAGGAGCCCACATACTGCAACAAAGGAGCC